AGAGCGAAAGTATTTGTCTAATCAGTTTGAAAGAATGAAGGTGGTGACATGAAAACAAGAATTGCAGATATCATGCCTGGCTAAAACAATAAATTCCAACCTCTGAAGTTATATTCCTCTTATTCAGGCAATTTCATTTTTGCAAAACATAGCTTTACCTCCAAAGTTAATTTGTAAGCAATCCTGCTTCCGTCCTCCGTAGTTATTCGGCTCTCCAGGACACCAGTTTGTATAGAGGAAAGGAGTACCATCAATCCAGAACCAGTTATTGTCCTGGAAAACCAAACTAAACTTAATAGAAAGTTAGTCACATGAAGCAAAATAAAAATGTTGTGATAAGTGAAATACCTCCTGCGCATCAGAGCCTCCAATCCAGGTCTTTTTATACTCGTGACTTGCACTTATTATCAGTCTCTGGATCTCATGGTACTCCTCCATGTTATGAACTGATGCCAGGTTTGCCTTCATGGACTGGCAGTTTTTCTACACATTTAATGAGACAAAACTCTGAGAAACTTTCTGATGCATAATCTGTTAGCTCAAAGATTTACCTGAATGATGTAAACTGTTAGAGGCCTTTTATTACCTCGGCTCTGGCCCAACTCATGGGTTTTGGGATGTAGCGGAAGCAGCGGCCGTTGAACCCAGTCCATCCATGGGGGCAGTCGGTTGACCTCTTCACCAGGTCACTCTTTGCTGAGAACAAATACAGACTCTAGTTAGAGCTTCTGAGTGTGACGGTGAGACATGTTCATGGTTTGGACCTTCATTTTGACATCTAATTTCAGCATGATAGACACTGAATTGTACCTAAATGTCCCAAAAGCAAAGCGAAGCACCAAGGAAATATATGCAAAGGAACAATGCTAAATAAATATTCAAACTTTTTCTTTTCAGGAATACTTGTGTGGCCATAATTAGCCCTAAATTTATACAATGTCCTATTCTATTAAGTTGTGACACTTTGATTCTTTTAATTTTCATCTTTTATTTACATAAAATGCATTTTTTTTTCTTTGTGCTGACAAAGCACAATGTGACTACAGACAATAAGGGAACTTAACATGGTGTGTTACATGAATGTTTAAGTTTCCATGAAACTATAAATTAGGGCTGAAACGATTCCTCGAGTGACTCGATTATTAAAATTTCTCGAGGAAAATGTATCTCCCTCGAAGCTTCGTTGAGTTATGCTTTATTATTTAATGCACCGTGTTCCAGCCGGGTCATTTCTTGTGTTTCGCAGCGCTCACACTTCCGCCTGAGCTGTTGACAAAAGTTAAGTGTTAGAAGCATAACGTCCAGTTTTCAAGTTCGGCCTGGGAGGATTTTATTGATTCATGATAATGTCTAAGTCTTTGTCGTTTTTCGGGGGATCATCCTTAAAATGACGGGAGCAATGCCTGGAGTATGGCAGCCTTTCTCCTCCTGGAGCTGCTGGTTCAGAGCGAACGGCAGGATCATTTATACAGGTGAGCAGATAGACTGAACACAGCTGTGCTTTAGATGCGTAGCTTTACGGACGAGCCAGAAAGTAAATTTCACATCATCCTGGTCGTAACAAATGGGTGGCGAAGAGCATCGTGACGTTACACACCTGTTAGATGCTTCTGTGAACACAAAGCTATAAATATCTGGGCATCTGTTACACTGACTGAAGATGAATGCATAAACCAAAAGCTTGAGTATAGACATTTTTTATAAGCGTATTTGTGAGCCTGCCTCTTTATTATTAAATTGAATATAATTTCAGATTTTTGTATAACTTTTCTTCAGGTTAACTTAGAAAGTGAGCTATTATTGTTCCAAGTTAATTTTCTAAACTACAGAAAAGTTGTTAGGGAAGCTCAAATGTGAAAAATTGGACTGATGTTGATATCCAATAGTTTTCCTGCTGTTATCTTAGATTTACCAGTGTTTTATTTGATCTTTTTTTATACAATTACTCGGTTAATCGTAAGAATAATCGATAGATTACTCGATTACTAAAATATTTCCTTACAACACCCCTACTATAAATTACAAAATATTGTAACTTAAGACCAATAGGATATCATATATTAAGGAATATTTCTCAAGACAGATGAAGCAAAAATAATTTTACTTAGCCGTGCAGCTATTATGTGTAAATGTTTTTTAAAAAGATGAAAAGTTCATTATTTCCACTGACCTGTTTTATCATCATCCGACTTTGTTTCTGGAAGAACCGGAAAGTTAGAGAGAATATTATAAATACTGTACTGTTTACGTACAAATTTACTGCAAGTTTCAAAGTTATTTTTAAGAAATGGTTCAGTTTGCAGTGAATTAAGAACTTTGTTGGTGTTTCATGATATTTGTAGGTTAATAAATGTTGGCTATAGAACATTAAAATACTATAAAATAGGTTAGGATGTGATAAGAACAAAAAACTTTTAGAAAACTCACCAAGGGCAGAAGTCAGGACCATCATGGCAAACATGGCTGCTGAAAAATGGAGGACCCTCATCATGCAGGTGATAGATGCTGATAAATGGAAACAATCTGATGTTGTAGGGAGCAGCTGAGCAGCCAGACTGATTGTGCAGAGAGGAAACGTCAGAATATAAGCTTTAAGTAGATTCCTCTATCTGCTGCCCGACACGTTCCTCTTTTTCAATACCAAGTAAGGCATAATGTGATCGGGTCAGTTTAACCAGCTGTTTAATGACGTTTCAAAGAATTAATCTTTTTTATAAATTGAAAATAAATGGTCTTTTTTAGTAGGAATTTGTTTATTGTTTATTGTTTTGTATTCATTTTTCTCTAGAGAAAGGCAACTGGAACTTATAGTTGAAGGGGGATTTTGACAGCTTGCTTTTCCACAAAATGAGTGTTTTTAATGAACCGTTTACTCTTGACGAAAGATTATAAAATATCTACATTGTAAATAACCAAAAAGTTTACTTTGTAAACAAAAAAAAAATTATTTTTTTTACATATGTGCTTTGTCATGTTTCACTGATGTGGTGGAAGTTCTTGTTTTAAAAAACAAAACCGATGTTTATGATGACCAAGCACTTCACACCGATGCTTGTTTAATACTTAAATGATGGAGATACAAGTAAAAAGATGACTAGCTTATCATGTAGAAGAACTTTCCACTTCTGTATATCATCACTGAGCTTCTCTTGAGATGTTTCAACACCTTATTTAGTCATATTTTGGTAACACTTTATTTATGGCTCTGTCTTGTGCAACAAGCAGCAACACGGAGCTAAAGTTGTCTTGTTTCTCTGTCTATATTGGTAGTGGATCAGTAAAATCATTTTGACGCTTTGAGAAAGTGATTTTAATGTTTGCACAACAGGATTGTTCAGTCAGGACATTAAGGTCATTCTACACACAGCTGTGATGTTCTCCATGTCCTTCAGATGATATTTTTAGAGTTTGTAATGTTCAACAACTCTTGACGATACTGTTGTTTATATTCTGTTGCTGTTTGTTATAATCACACCAGTCGGCTGCTTACGTTTCATAAAGAGGGTTTATGAGTATTGAAGAAAATGGAGTTAGACAGAAGGAGATGAGAATGAGGTTTAACATTAACATCAAAGTCAGACCAACTTACTAAGTGGTTTTAAGATCTCCTTCTATATATATTTTTTTAGAAATAAAGAGTTGACACAGAGTAAACAAATAAAAAAGAGATCACACAGTAATCAGCTTACTAATCCAAGTCTTCATTCAATCCCGATGATTTCCATAAATCAGACCCTATAATTACATAGACTATGTGGCTTCTGCCTATAATAGAGCCATAAAATCTCTGCATGAGTTTCGACTCATCAGTGTTTCCATATGTTTCTTCCTGTCAGTCTGAGGGGAAACATTTGGATCTCTGTTTATCCTGCAGTTGTTATGAAATTAATGAGAACGCCTTAATGTTTATTAAAATACTTTGCTGTACCCAACTATTTCTAATTTCAGAAATGTTGTAATTTGTCTGTAATAAATTAAAATAATAAAGTTAATAAACATTGACCACATGTGTTGGTACAGGTGTAAATCTTCAGTTATCTTTAGGAACTGCATAAAATCATTC